TGAAAGCGGCAGCCAGCCTCTCCTCTTGGGCTTACCCTGTAAGGTAAGAACTACCCCGCCAAAGCGCTGTTGAATGACAAACTATAACATATGGAGATGGAGGGTGTCCCTAACAACAATGCTGAGGTGTCTAGTGTGACCTGCCATTGGAAAGACTGTGGTGACAACTCACAATCTATGTTTCAGCATCTCTCAACCTAGAGGGGAAGCAGGAGCAGAGGAGGATTGAGATCCATGTGTGACGGTGAGAACAAAATTTACATGGAACTGGCCGGGCAGTGGTGGTGCATGCCTTTAATCCCAGCACTCGGGAGGCAGAGCCAGGTGGATCTCTGTGAGTTCGAGGCCAGCCTGGGCTACCAAGTGAGTGCCAGGAAAAGGCGAAAAGCTACACAGAGAAACCCTGTCTCGGAAAACCAAAACAAACAAACAAACAAAAATACATGGAACCTCACAGCGCAGGAGCAGTTCAGAAACTGTGGGTGAGTATGCCCAGAGTGGAAGCCACCCCCTTTCCAGTCCTGTTGTGTAGCTAGGCTTAGCTCAGTGTTGAAAAACGACAGCGTCTTCCACTATGTCGCCAAGTCAATGGAGGAATGAAACGGTCATCTGTGTAAGGATTTCTGAAAGGAACCCGGGTAAAGGGGGACAGGCAAGAGATTGCAGTGGGGGTGGTGGGTGGATTGTATCAAGGTGTATTATGTACATGTATGTCATGATATAACGTCAAAGCATTTATACGCACATATGAAAATGTCATGTGTGAAAGTGTTATTATCTTATACAATTAATACATGTCCTTTTTTTTTTATTTTTAAGAAAGAGACTTCTAAACAACATATTCCTAAAACTCCCCTTCTCGCCCTCACTCCATCCGAGTGCCATGCCCCGACACTGTCTGGCTTCCTCCTGCGTGGAGTACCACTTCAAGCCATATAGTCACTTGTTAAGCTGTCTCTTCTAGCACAGTGCAAGCTGTTAAGAGCCAGACTTTTGCCTTGTTCTCTACATAATCATACTTGTTGAAAATGAATCTGTCCTCATTTCCAAGGTTTGCACAAAGACAGATCTCTGTACAATCCACTAGTGCTGCTATGGAAAATGTATGTTATGATATGAGAGCTTGATAATCTCTGTAAAGTGTAGATACTGGCATCGGATCCTACTTCAACTTACTATGACATAATGCCTCTCTTCTCTTGGAAACACAAAGACATATGTTTTGAATACTAGATGAGTGTGAATAAATGTTCCTCCTCAAACTTGGGCATCTTTACTACAAACAAGGCATTCTCCTTCCAAGTAAAATATAACACCATATATGTTCTGTACCTTCACACTGTTTTACTTTCCCAGAAAATAAAACTGAAAAGTCACATGACCTTTTCATGGTAAACACCTTCTAGGATGTGACTGTCAGAGCTTTATGAAGTAGGCTGCCTTATCTGTGTTGTCTTCACAAAGACTAAGGCAGCTTTCCACCTGGGATTTCCATTTTTCTATGCCCTGTGTTCAGAGACCTCCACATCCTTAAGGCATTTATTAAAACTCAACTTCTCACTGTTCTAAGAGTCTCAAATGATCAGGCCTCGTCATCTTTGCCAGGTAGAAATGATCCCCCTGTTCTCAAAATCCCCAGGTGCTTTTAATAAGTACAAACACCACTAGCATGAAACCATCCGGTCTCCCAAACTAACACATCAAGCCTAAGATCACAGCTAAGAGGCAGGAGCATGACTATACTGGGAATCACCTAGACAGCGCACCCTGGGACACGTCTTTTAAGTTCACTATGCCTCCGAGGTCTCCTCTTGATGGAGGAATGTCTTTTTGTATGCTGTGAAAATACGTTGCTCTGATTGGTTGATAAATAAAGCTGTTTGGCCAATGGTGAGGAAGGAGAAAGGCAGAACAGAGGGGATGCTATCAGCTGCCGCCATGAGTAGCAAGATGTAAAAATACTGGAAAGCCACGAGCCTTGTGGCAAAGTATGGATTTATAGAAATGGATTAATTTAAAATGTAAGATCTAGCTTGTGAGAAGCCTGAGCCAATAGGCCATACAGTTTGTAATTAACCTAAGCCTCTGTGTGTTCATTTGGGTCTGAGAGGCCACGGGAGCTGGGCGGGCACAGGAAAACTTTCAGTTACATCCTCTCCTCAAGAGATGCAGCCATCTAACTAGGGGTTTGAAAGGAAGATCAAAACTCAAGATTTCCTTGTTAGGGGAACCAGGTTCAATCTTTGGTTTTGGGAGTTGGAAGGGCCAACTCTCAGTCAAGAGGTTAGGAGTATGCTCATCTGACTGAGACTGAATCCATCCACGAAAGCCAAAGAAAATATAAACTTAAGTCTCGCTCTGAAGGGTTACTACCAACAAAAATAAACACATACTTTTGACAATTTTTTTTCTTAAAGGTCTTGAATTTGTTATTTTTTAAGTCAGCAGAGATTCGTTTGTTGCATGCTGTGAATAAAAACTGTATTCGTGGAAAGGGAGGGAGGCAAGAGTCCAGGCTCTGGATGATCACTCAAAACTAAGGTGGTGACTCTGAGCAGGCCTGGGATGTGACTGTGTACCAAGGTGCACTGCTGACTTACTGCCTCACTGGATCCCATCAGCTGAGTGGCCAACCCAGCCAGAGCTGCTCTTGGAACCGAGGGCTTCCGTGTGCTGCTGTGCTCCTACCGATGATCAAAACCCTGAAAGTAACTAACCTCCAGCCACAGGACTGGCTGTCAAGTTTCTGCCTAGGCACGTCACCGGAAAAATGAGCCTAAACAGACAGCTTTGGTCACCTCTCTAGATTTGTAGGCATCCTCCGAGTTTCTCCACCATCTGTTTCAATCTTTAGAGGATGGGGGTTTTCTAGCTGAGATGACAGACTCCACAGATGCCCTGCTGCCCACCACAGTCCCACAGGTGCCAGCCACATCTCAGCTGTGTTTGGAGGGTTCACAGAAAGAACAGAACTTGTCCCTGTCATCCTTAAAAATCGCAAGCACAGTGGAACATTTGAAAGACTGACTCTATTATGACTTACTTAAATGTGTCCTCTGTTCTTAATTCTGATGCCACTATAAGGGAACATGCAACAGCATATACGATAGAATGCAAAGAAACTCTTCTTTCAATGTTTGATGTTATTAACTTAAAATGTCTTTCTTAAATGTCAAAAATTAAATCTAAATAAGGTGGGTTTATGTATCTGTTGAAGCCTAAACCATTAAGAACATACTAAGTAATACTAGAGCCTCAAATACTGAAGTGGGCCAGACTTATGCAAAGTACCAGTGTACACTGCACCACATGACCTGATAGCCCTTTTCTGAAAGCCCTCTGTCTACCCTGAGCACCAGCACAATGCAAGCCCTGCCCCCAAGTCGACTCAATGGTGATAATAGTTATGGAAATGTTTTCATGAGTCCCATAAGAGCCCTGTTACAGGTTCTCATAAAGCAATGGGTACATGGAATGTGATCCTGCCTGCTCACTAAGCCCCTTCCTAACACACACATCTGAAATGTGGTCTACCAACCACACATCTCTGGGGAGGCCTGTGAGTCCTCTGGACCTCTGCTCCATTTGGGAATCACTAACGTGTATTTTGTTATGTCTCTACAGAGGCTATTTAAAGACACAAAAGTGGATCTAACCAATCTTCCAGACCTGAATTAAGCCTCTCAGGGCACAGTCACATTTGCCTTCTCTCTTTAAATCCTATGGGAATGCTTGGAAGTTGTGAAGGCCTTGATATTAGGATGGCCAGATTACCACAGCTCAAGGTCAGAGTGTAACCCACAGTTTGAAGCAGAAGAAAGGCAGTTTCTTAACATGAAAGGGTCACACCTTTGCATTTTTCTTCATATAAAGGGAAATTTATAACATCAATCTACCACAGCACCATGGGAAAGAATTAAGTCCTAGTACATTTAAGTCATTCACCTAGTAACGTCGAGTACCAAGTACCGTTTATGTAATGTTAAACCCTTCTCCAGAGGAAGGGGAAAAGCCTCCTCCAGCACTCTTACAGATGTTTGTTGTGTATCAGAGATGCCACAACCAGATCTCTAGCACTCCTTACATTTTTATACATAATGGTGTCTTATACACCAGGAGGTTGCTGGGGGGTTAAAAGGAAAGGGAATTGTTAGAAACAAGAGGCTAGAAGCTAAGTTTCTGTTACATCCATGGAGAGATTTGTAAAGAAACCGAGGGGACTGGGATCGGTGGGAATCAATGATCTCCAGAGTGAAGAAGGCTTAGTATTAGTTCCTACAGGCTTCCCACCCCACTGTACACACTGTCTCCTTCCTGCCCACACCACTGTACACACCGTCTCCTTCCTATCCACCCCACTGTACACTGTCTCCTTCCTACACACACCACTGTACACACTGTCTCCTTCCTGCACACACCACTGTACACACTGTCTCCTTCCTATCCACCCCACTGTACACTGTCTCCTTCCTGCCCACACCACTGTACACACCGTCTCCTTCCTACCCACACCACTGTACACTGTCTCCTTCCTGCCCACACCACTGTACACACCGTCTCCTTCCTACCCACCCCACTGTACACACTGTCTCCTTCCTACCCACACCACTGTACACACTGTCTCCTTCCTACCCACACCACTGTACACACCGTCTCCTTCCTACCCACACCACTGTACACTGTCTCCTTCCTGCCCACACCACTGTACACGTTTTCACCTTTGATTGCCTTTTGCAGAAACATGGTACTCAACGACTTTCAGAGATGTGCTAGAGCACACAGATGTGCTAGAGCTAGAGATGATTTTTACACAGCAACCGCCTGTCTCACGGGAAGCCATGATCATTTGCAGAGATAAATTAGTGCTATACTATTTCTAAAACTGTATTCACACATGTCAAAAGCACATTAGGGCCCTGGAGAAACATGGACTTATGAAAATCATGCAGTTACATTTTTTAAAAATGTACCAAAAAAAAAAAAAAAAAGGCTTCACTTACTTGTATTGATCAGAAATTGATTTGACACTCCGGGATGATCCACATCATGTATTGCACTGGCAAAAATGGCTGCGAGAATCTCCAAGTCTGTGAACACGGCCTGGGGACCCAAGCACACAGGTAATATTACTATGGTATTCTAGGAAGACATGAGTGAGAGTACTCTATAAACAAATGAGATAGCTCCCAGGACTCAGAAGGAACTTGGGGCGAGGCTTGGCAGTATCTTACTATGCTTCATCAAGAAGCGTCTTCTGGATGAGTTTCTTAAATGTGATTTCAAAACAAAGTATTTCATCTGACTTTGTTATGTATCATGACAAAATCTCTCCTGTTCATTATATTTAAAAAAATATTAGAGTATCTGAAATGATGCTGAAAGGAAATGTGAGCTTATAACTCACTTAATGATACACTCTGAGAACACACATAACATCAATAACGCCCCCACTGAATTATGAAAAGGCATTCCTTCTTCCATCTCCCCGTCACTCAAATCAGCAGTTCTCAGCCTCAGTGCCGTCAACGCTGTGTTAGAGCACTGTGCACGTTGTTATGATTTATTATGTGTGCCCCCCATCCCGAGGGTATCCCCGATCATGCAGGGAAACATGCTGGGCAGATGCATGCCATGTGGGCATGGCGGTAGCCAGTAATTCACAACCCAGACGCTGCATCCATGTGGAGAGTTTATTATAACAGAGAGATAAAGAAAGAGGCAAACAGACAGACAGAGGGGGGGGGGAGAAAAAGGGGGGGAGGGGAGCACACTCCGTGGGAGGAAAAGCAGAAGGAGAGAGAGAAAGGGGTGGAGTTTTTCCTTAAGAAGAGGCTTCTATGGCAGCATGCAAGGTGGCCCCAAGGGGCGGGATCAGAGTATTAACACGTATTACTGGGTCATTTAGCCAATTCCTTGCCTCTATTCACAACAACCAAAAAATTTCTCCAGAAATTTCCCAAATGTCCCTGGGTGTAGAGATGGAGAAGGAAAGCAGGACAGAAATCATCCCCAGCTGAGAACTACTCAGCTAAATAATGAGTATAAGCAAAATTTTACAACGAAAAGAGTCTCAACTGTATAGCAAATGAGAATCTTTCCTCTGGATGACTATGGATATCAAATCTGTTTATTAAACACTTAACAGAACAACTTCTTGGGGTTTGGAAAATTTAAAAAGGCATTTCCTTCTAATAAATTCTTGGAGAACATTAACGTGTTGCTTATATTTTAGAAAATAACTGTCCTTTGAACTACAGCCATCAGACCAAAGTTCTAGAAAACCCAACTAGAAGTCAATAAGCCAGATGTGTGTGCACAATGTCACCGGCCCATTTCAAAGGAGCAGTATTATAAACAGATGGATCCCAAAATCGTTGACCAACTCTCACAGACAGAATTCATCAAAGGATCTGTTGTCTATTAACAAGAATTTTCTCCTTCTTATAAGTCAGTCAATGGATTTCCAATGAGGTTAGCTGCTGTCTGTACTGAAAACCCTCCAACATCAAAGCTTAAGAGCCCTTTACAAGAGGCGAGTGAGTGCGAGCGACATCTTAGGAAAGAGCCTGACCTCCAGGGCAGGTGTAGATAATAGCACGTGAGTAGACTGGACGACATCCGCAGCATGGATGTTGTTATGGTAGGCCACATCAGCATGGTAATGGTCCTCCAGAGTCATGAGATACGTAATTAAAGTGTCTACTGGAATTTTAAATGTTTTTAATAAATCCCGTTCCTGTAAGAAAAGAAATCCTCTTAACATTTTTGTCTTTCTAGAAAAACTCATTTGCCAGCGCATGTTAAAAGAGAATCTTACGCTGTTGTTGCCTACAAACAGCCCAGAAATGAAACCATGTTTTCTTATATCTATCGAAGGAAATGGAAATATTCCGGAAGTTTAGAAACTCTGCCAACAACCCACTGCTGAGCTGTCCTTCGGAGACCAAAGGTCTGCATCTGAGGGGTACAGTGTGAGGAGTGGATTGCCAGATCTAGGCCCCCACAGGCAGCTGTCGTGGAATGCAGCTGCTGACTGGGCCCTTCAGTCACACCAGATGAACCCATGCTGGCTCTCACACTCAAGTTTCCTATCTAGTCCCAAGGTACCAGCTCCAGTTTCTCAGTTACATCCCACCCTGACATGGTACAAAGGCAAGAAGAAATGGATATAGAAACGATGGCAGACTACTAAAAATATACTCAAGAAACTATATTCTGTGTTCATCAGCAGTGGCCTTGTTTGTTTAGGTAGTTAGTAAGTCTGCATGGTGGAGATGATTTTTCTAACTATTGTTAGACATTGTTTCCATTTCCTCATAGTTCTTAAATAGAAAAAAAATGCAATTATTTGTGTTTTACACATACACACCTATCTATTATTATTTGTTCCTTATGAAGGAGCCCTAAAACAGAGCCATCAAAATAAGAGGGAAGGAGTAGAATGCATGATGTATAGTTCATAATGCAAAGTTAAAGGCTGGACAGTTTGGGTGAGAAAATGACCCAGTGTCTCAATGTTGAGGTGCTATTGCTCACAGGTGACTGGATAATGAGGATACTAACTTCATTAATAAGTTCACAGCTCAAGGAGGGGGACCCAGTTGAAAGAAGCAGGGGCACTAGGAGCATGCCTTTGAAGAGTCTGTTTTGTCCCAGGATGATGTCTCCTACCCTCCCAGCCCTTTCGCTGGATCTGTTAACCTCTGCCCAGCCACTGTTACTCTACCATGTTTCCTGCCCCATGCTCTGCCTTATCACAGCCTCCAGGCAATGGAGTAGCTGACTAGACCCTCTGAAACTGTGAGCCAAAATCAATCACTCCCCCTTCTAGAATGATCCGCTTGGGTATGTTATCACAGCAGCAGAAAATGACTCATCTACAGTCCCCTGGTTAGAAGAAACTCAAGGTCATTACCTGAAAAATGGTGTGCATGATAACAGTCAGAGGCCGGTTACCAGACAGCTCTGCTATTCTGAAAACATGAAGACCCCATTTGTTCACATCTTCTAGTTCCTAGGATAAAGAAAAACCCCCAAAGAACAAAATGTTTAACAAGAGGTGACAATAAACAGAAGCATTAAAAAAAAAACTTTAATGAAAAAGATTGCTAAAGTAAAAAGAAAAGACTCATTTTAAATGTAAAGGATGTGACATGTAAACAGTCAAATTTAAGGCAAGTTCACTGAAATATACTGAAAACCAAATACGCTTAAATATGATTCTGATAGTAAATTACATGCATATGCTTTCATTACTGACCTCAAATAATTTCTTCAATATATAAAATCTATTCACAGAATCCACCTAGTCTAAAGTCCAGAAGAGATGACAGATTTCTAACTCTCCAAGGCCAAAAAAATCAAATCAATATGCTGAAAAGAAAACAAGCAAGCAAGCAACCAACAACAAACAGAGATGCATCAGTCAGACCAGACGTCTAAATCTACATATTAACAAAATCTAATAATTTACAGAGCTTTAGGAAGTGGTTTCCCACCTTCAAATCAAGGACAGCAGAGATGGCTCAGAGGTTAAAAGCAACTGTTGCTCTTCCTGAGGACCTGAGTTCAGTTCCCCAGCACCCAATTTTAGGTGGCTTATAACTCTTGTAACTCTAGATACAGGGCATCGGATGCCCTCTTCAGGCATCCATTGGCACTGTACTAATATATGCATAAACACACAGACACACACACACACACACACACACACACACACACACACACACACACACACACACAGGAAACATAATATAGGCTTTTTGTTGTTTTGTTTTGAGACAGGGTCTTACTATGTAGCCCTGGCTGTCCTGGAACTTGCTATGTAGACCAGGATGGATTCAAACTCACAGAGATCTGCCTACCTCTGCCTCCTGAGTGTTGGGATTAAAGGCATGTACCTGAGCCTATGAACTGAGGAGCCAAAATAGTTTTTAAGATCATATAAATCAATGAACTTTTCCATCTGTTTAAAAGAAAAGAAAGAGAACTCATGGAAAAAAAAAATTCACATCATGGTCTTTGAAATAACTGTACCTTGGCCAGGACATCCTCCTGTTCTGTTTTAACCCCAAACCTCGGGATGCATGAATTCGTCAGGCTAGAGCTGTGCATCAACTTCTTGACCCCACTGATCTGAGACATTGGCCTTTTCTTCTTCTCTTTTTCCTTCTGAGTTGGAGAGGGAATTTCCACTTCATGTTGCTTATCTTAAGAAATTCAGAAAACATCCTACATTTACTATTACATCAACTTTATTTTCTAATCACATATCACATAAATGAAAAAGTGTAATTGATCACTATACATTCTAGAAAGTGATTCCAAACACTAATTTTCCTTTTAGAGTTGAATACAAGTTGATATCCTCAAACATAAAATGAAACAAATTCTACTTTATTATAAAAGACCTCTTGATAAACTATCCTAAGAGGAGACTGTAAGATATGATAGCCAACTTAAAAGAAAGCAAAATACTTGGTTATTTAGTGTTCCCTAACTTCATTCCCACTGGAATTTCATTTAGAGGCTTGAAAACAACTTTTCCAAGGACTCCAGTTTCAACATGCATTTTTAAAATGGTAGACACTTCATATGCAAATATATCACAAGCAGGAGCCTGTGAACTCAGGAACTAAACTCTGTAACGACTGTGCCAGCCTACGGTGAACCTCAGAATGACCTGAGTACTGCTCCTAGTTGGCTTCTCTGTCCGATAAAAAGGAAATGTTTACAGTGTTACCAAGTGTTGTAGGGACCACAGACAATCCACGGCATTATGTTGCTGAAAGGCATAGATGCTAATGTCCACAGCAAAAGCCATAGACATAAGATGTCTTAATGCACTCATCTCTGTGAAGGCAGTGAGCAGCCTTAACTCATCCTTGTACAGTATAGGTTTAACAAACATTTGTACAGACATTTGCTCCTTAATACACAATCATTTTGTTTTGAAAGTAAATTCCTCTATCAAGGGGGGGTTCACATGATTAACTTTCACTTATTATAATTTCTTTCTACTGTTAAGGTTAAAATGGCTGTCTTGAGCTGGACGGTGGTGGCACATGCCTCTTTAATCACAGCTCTCGGGAGGCAGAGGCAGGCAGATCTCTGTGAGTTCGAGGCCAGCCTGGTCTACAGAGCGAGATCCAGGATAGGCACCAAAACTATACAGAGAAACCCTGTCTTGAAGAACCAAAAAAAAAAAAAAAAAAAAAAAAAAAACCCTCGTTTAAAAAAAAAAAAAAAAAAAAAAAAAAAAAAAAAAAAAAAGGCTGTCTCAAAAAGCCACACTCAACTAATCAGAAAACTTGCCTTAGGAACTACACCTGTACCTGATGGAAGGGGCTATTTCTAATTTATTACTGCCCTAGTACCTAAGAATGGTGGTTCTTAACAAAAAAAAAAAATGTTTGATGCAGGAATAAATAAATATATTGATCAATATTTCATAATTTAGTATTATGAAAAGACCTTGCTTGAGAGGTGGCTCAGTAGTATAATGCTTGCCTAGGCTAATGCAAGCCTATGGGCTTGATACCTCATACTACAAATCAATCAAAAATCAATTAACCAACCAACCAATCCATCAATATACCACGTTACCCCAGACTGACTCTGAAGCTTAGAGACTTAAAGTCTCAACTTATTAACATTATGTACTGGTTTTCAAAAAGAGCTAAACTCTAACTGCCATTTAAAATTAGCAGGCAAACAAGCCTAAGGCGGGTTTTCAATTGCACACGGTTGTTCTCACCTAAGAATGTGTTCGATATGTACTCTGACACCTGGTTTCCTGACCGACTCATTTCAGAGAGATGCGTGAGCTCCCGGTTAAGCATCCTTTTAAACTGAAAGACAAAAGGAGGGTTGCAGTAAGAAGAGAGGACATCCGACGGGTCATGACATAAGCATTCCCCAAGACATAGGGAAACACACCCAAAGAATGTTTACATCATCGTGACTATTCATTATCGGGGTACTTTCTCCAGTGTTGGGGAGTGATAACAGTCTATGCTGGGACAGTGTCCACTAGGCACATGTGGACATGGAGCACAGGAAATGAGGTCGGTATGAATGAGACATTGAGTTCTGAACTTCATTTAACTTTAAATGTCTACAATTTAAACATTCACAGTTAGCAAGCAGCTACCACACAGGATAGCATAGACAAAAACACTTACGGCAATAATCAATAGGTAAAACAATGTTTAAAGATATTCTCTTCTGCAGAAGGAAAATAGAATTGATGCATACAAATCACACATGGCAGTCTATACTTCTGCTTGCTTGTTTTCTGTTGCTTTTTATTGTTTGACTGTTTCATATATTTATAGAGTCAGTCTTAGTTGTTTTTACCCACTGGAGACCTTCTTCCCAACAAGTCCCCCCTACTTTTATGTCTGTTTTTTGTATGTGACCCACTGAGTTTAACACTGTATTTTTTTTTTTACCAGTTGATTTATCATTCTTAAAAAAATCAATATCTAATAATGATCAAATGTTAAAGTATTACAGTCCTTAACCATAAAGAAAAACTTAATAGATTTATTTGAGTGTTCTCCCAGGGACTTGAAGAAACACAACATTTGAGTAAATACTACATAACATTTGCTTCTGAAGCTGTATACGAGCAGAAACGGCAAGAAGTATTAGTTCTCAGAAACCACAGAATTTACTGATCCATCATCTCCCACATCATGAAACAGAAAGCAGGTCAATGTTTATTCTTTACAACTTCACCATTTATTTTACTGTGACGACTGTGCCATCCAGACACAGTTCAATCACCTGCTACTACAACAGGGAAATGCCAAGGTCAGTTTATCTCCAGTCAGAATGGCTGAGATTGAAAACACAAAACAAAGCAATCAAACACTAACAACAAAAGAACACAAAAAGACAAAAGATGGCGAGGATATGGGGAAAGGGGGACACTCCTAGTAGGGGTGTGAACTGGTGTAGCCAGTATGGAAATTAGTTCCTCAAAAAGCCACGAACAGATCTGCCACATGATCCAGCTACACCCCTCCTGGGCATTTTCCCAAAGGACTCTCTATCTTACCGCGGAGGTACCTGCACATCTGTGTTCTTTGCTGCTCTATTCACTATGGCCAAGAAATGGAAACAACCTAGGTGTCTATCAGTGGGTGAATGGATAATGAAAATGTGGTACATTTATACAATGGGATGTTATTCAGTTTTATAAAAAGTGAAATTATGAAAATTTCAAATAATCTGATGGAAATGGAAACTATTGTCCTGTGTGAGGTATCCTAGACCCAGAAAGATAAATATCACATGTTTTCTCTCATCTATGGATGTTAGCTTTGACTCTTTAGACATGTGTATTTCATTTGGAATAGCCACAGAGGTCAGGGAATATATAAAGGACCATACAAATAGGGCTTCTTAATGTAAAGCCTACCTTGGGGTCTGAAAATCTCCCAACCAGGCATGTTAATATGCCTCAATAGTTTTCAATGTTCAGCATCGTGGATTTGTTTGTTTCTGCTGTTGTTGTTTTGTCAATTTGACACAAGCTGGAGCTCTCTGGGAAGAGGAACCTCAATTGAGAAAATTCCTCCAGGGCTAGAGAGATGACCCAGTGGTTGAAAGCACCAGCTGCTCTTCCAGAGGACCTGACTTCTATTCCTAGCACCCACACAGTGGCTAACAACTGTTTATAACTCCACTTCCAGGGGATCCAACACTCTCTTCTCTTCTGGCCTCCATGATCACCATACATGCACGCAGTATACAGTACACAAATACACATGCAGGTGTAACACTCATGCACATTTAAAGAGGAGAAATAGAGAGATACACACACACACACACACACACACACACACACACACACACACACAGAGGGGAGGGGAGGGGAGGGGGACAGAGAGAGAGAGAGAGAGAGAGAGAGAGAGAGAGAGAGAGAGAGAGAGAGAGAGAGAGAGAGAGAGAGAGAGAGAGAGAGAATACCTCCATCAGACTGTCTATAGGAATCTGTAGAACATTTTCTTAATGATTATGGGAGGGTCTAGCTCAGTGCCACCCTAGGCAAGTGGTCCTGGGTCATATAAGAAAGTAAACCAAGCAAGCCATGAAGAACAAGCCAATGCACGGCACCGCTCCATGGTCTCGGCTTCAGTGCTTGCCCCAGATTCCTGCCTCAGCTTCCCCTGGTGACAGACTTTACCTGGACATGTAAAGTGAACTAAGCCTTTTCCTCTGCACGTTGCTTTTGGTCATGGGGTTTTATCATAGCCATAGAGAGCAAACTGTGACATTCAGAACAATGCAGTTTTCCAATATATAAACTAAGTACTACTACTTGATCAAAAATGTAAAAAAAAAAAATGACTTTATCCTTATCTCTGGTAGACTCTGAAACTTTACACTTCACTATGAAGTCTCCCTTGTAAATCTGGAGAGGAGGAGTGAGCTCATCTTTTGGAAGCGTTCAGAATGCAGCTCAGAACGGAACTGGCTTATTTAGAATTTTCAAAAATCTTGCTTCTGTACATAATTTACACAGAGATGGCCTATCAAGAAGCAATATAGTTGGACAGATCTCTCCTAAAATCAACCCTAGGAAATCCAAATTGGCTGTGACACTTTACCCATCACCACAAACCCTGAGGTTGATCAAGATAATATCAAGCAACTGTTAGCTCCAAGGAGTGAACAATAGCTTTCCCTTACAGATAAAGAGAAACTGGCCAGGGTGAACACACATTCTATGTTGTCAATCTGCAGGGACAGCTTATTCTCAAACTTGGGAACATAAAGTTTACTTTTTTTAAACCTATGTATTTGTACACATTCCTGTTAGGCATAACATACACATGTATGGTAGAAAAATCTAGGAAGCTAAGATAAAAACCCATTTACATCCCTACCTCTCAGAGATAATTACTCATAAACCACATACAATTGGCTGTATTTTCTCCTCCCAGGCCTTTGTAATGTTATGTATACTGCGTCACATACTCCAAGATGTCAGGTCCTGTTTGCTCTCACTTTTGCAGCATACACTACTTAAGAAAGTAAAACTGGAGGCTTCCTGAGAATATTTCCAAAGGCCTTTACACTAGCTAGTGCCAAAAATTTGTGTCATCTTTTCGAAGTTATGTTTCCTTAAGTAAATTATTAATTTACAAGTAATTAAACAATCTAACCACTTAGGCCATCTTGTATTTTGTTTGTCATACAACATGCACTCAGCGTTATTTGAGAGTTCTTTCTTCTTAGCTCCCTTTGTGGCGATCAACCCTGACTTCTGAGCCTTTTATTCTGATAACTGTATCAATGGAGGACACACCAATGGAACTGATTATAGACACATCTACAGCTAGCCCCCATTTTAGTCAATCGCGTAAAGGAATTTGGGCAAGAACCTATATGGGAAATCATGGCTGTTCCAAAACCATAATATTATGTATAATCTCTCCCAAGTAAAAGAAAAATTCTTGCTTTATAGGTAATTTATCCTCGAGAAAATGTACTCATTAGGCAAAATAGATTCAAAAGAAGATTTTCTAAATGTTCTGAACATGTATCCAGTGAGGTATTCTCTCTTTCAAGCAGTCCATGCAGTTAGATGAAGTTGCCATTAAGAACCACCTGACCCTGACTAAGTGGGGAGGGCTGGGCATTGCTTTAGGCCACCAGGAGCCTTGCCTCTCAGGAGACAGTCCAGGAACTGCTACCACCATGCCCGTACAGCTAAGCACCATACACCAGTGTTCTGAGGACAAATGGGAAAAGTCGACAGGAATGTACAGACGCCCCATCTGCCTTACACACAGACCTGTTAGGATTAATCTGTTGCTGTCCACCCCAGCAGAAACATGTTCATGTTCATGCTATCTGCAGACATGCCACACAATCATTTGGTTTTCTGGAAGAGTAGTAGCATGACGGACAGTTATTCTTGCCATTTGTTCACATAATTCATCAAAATGGTCAGTTAGTGCAATAAGGTTAACATCACCACTGAAAAGATTCTTCGGTGCAGACTGCCTATACGTCACACTGCACACTCCCCCGAATAGTGCTGTATCATAGCCATTATTCCCACATTCCTCTCCCCTCTTTGTTCGAATCATGGAAACACAGGCTGGAAAAACCCTGCATCACACACCTGTCTCCCCACCAAGGCTTGCTGTGTTCCAAAGAAGGCAATGTTTCCTTTTAACATAACTGTGAGACAATATTTAAAACAATTCCCTAAAGTGTTCTTCCCATGGGGGGTGCGTGGTGGTGGGGGGCTAAGTCAGGGGGATTTCCAAAAAGCCATTTTCAAGGGGCCAACTAGGTTACAGCACAAGAATATTTGGAAAGAGGAGTTAAAATTGTTATTTTTTTTTCTACTGATAATAAAAATTTCAATCCAGGCATGCTAAATTAATAACCACAAAAGTGGCCACAAGTGCTTTCTCAACTTGCAGTTGATTGCCTGGAGTATTAAAACAGAATATACTAAAGCTTTTCACAAACATTTTAATTACAAGGTAAATTTCTGTCATTTTGAGTAACTATGTTTATTAAGATATTTACAGACTAATTACCATGGGTAGGGAAGAAAGGGTGGTTTAAAAAGCTAACAGAATGTCTCCTCCATACGACAGCACTGAACTCCCTAACTGATTTATGGTAGGCAAACAAAAAAGTACCTTTCAATAGAACCCCGTGAAAAGTACCATTTAATTGAGCATGTAGCTATGTTTTAAGGTTGCCTCTGTTTTATGTTGATTCATTTCTTACTGGGCCTGTTTTACTCTAAGTGGTTTTAAAACATTATGAAGAATCATGGTTAAAACTAGGGGGGGAAAGGGGGAAGATTTCTCGG